TAGTTTGAGTAACACCTAAGATAAATTCCCAAGTAGTCAAAACCCCTCACAGCTGGGCCACTTGAGCTGAAGTGTTGCCACTCTTATCCAGGTGAAAGAGCTATGAACACACAGATTCATGCAAAGCCTGCCTGTGGTATTTGGGACAGAAAGGGATTATGATAGTAGGTTATTCCATGTTGTTGATATATCAACTACACAAAGCTGGGGAAAGGGCCCACCAGATGGAATACTGGACATCATCTCGCGCCACGGTAGTCTAACATCTGAGAGAAGCATCTACTCTCGCAGAAGTAATTGAATTCCTGAATCCAAGAAAGTGTTTCCAGAGGGTCAGGTCGTTTTCTTTGTGATGCTTCAATACTTAGCATTAATGAAGAGTCCCAGAACAGGGTCAGTCTTTCCTTTCTGTCATCATTAGCTGGAGCGCACCCGGCCTTTTGGGCCCGCGTGGTCCAAACCGACCCCATTGCCTGGAGGTGGGAGCTGGAGCCCCAGTTCTTCTGGGAAGCTGCCACGCAAGATGATTTGTACAAGGAAGTCGCCCCCAAGCCACTGCTTAAGTCCAGTGCCCACTGGCCTTATTCTGTTCTGTGGTCCAGAAGTGTTTCTTTAAAAGCCAGAAAACCTGAACATGTGAGCCAGCATGTCGACCATGTCAAGAGCCACCTCATCTTTAGAGTATTGCAAAGTTGTTGGCTGTTATGAAAGCTGCCATGTTAACTCCAGGAATCCGCTCCAACAGCTGTTTTTCAATATCTTTCTACCAAACACATCTATTCTTAAAAATTAGTGCATGGGTCAGCTTATTCTCTTCCATGCCTTCAAATCCTGGTAGTACTTGTCCATGAAACCTGGAACTCGCCACCCAGGATAATATCCTTTAAACAGCCAACGACAGCGTGAAGTTCTGCGTCCAAGTAGGAAGAGAGAGCGCGAAACTGTCGTCCTTTCAGGCGACTTTTGCAGCGGTCGGGGCAGCCCGCCGGCCGCTGGAGGAGGCGTCTGCGCCTGCGCAGAGGCGTGGCCCTGGCTCCTTGGGCCGCAGCCACGTGTCGGCCTGGCTCAGGATGTCCGTTACCCACCGCTCAAATGCAGGCTTATAAAATAATCCTGAAAAGACCCTCTCCATAGGAGTTCTATGTAAGTATTTGAGAATACTTTATATTCTCTCTCAAACTGATGGCAATAGAAATGTTGAACAATAGTGATTGAATTCAAAGTAGAGTTAACTTGAGGTAGTATTTAATTTGCAATTTGAAAATTCTATGATCCCAGAATATATTTTTGAAAACACTGTCAAAACGCAATAGTAAAAAGCCAGACAATCCAATTATAAAATCCAAGAAAAAAATCCAAGTATAAAATCCAATTATAAAGACATGAACAAATATATCAGCAAAGAAGAAATAAGGATGCCATGTGAAAAGATGTGCCAACATCATTAGGCATTATACATATGCAAGTTAAAACCACAATGAGTTGTCCCTACAAAACTAGTGAACAACTGAAATTTTTTTTAAAAAATAGTGATAATACCAAATGCTGGTGAGAATGTGGAGGAACTAGATTTCTCATACATTACTGGGGGACTGTAAAATGATACAGCCACTCTGGAACACAGTTGGACAATTTCTTAGCATATGACCCAGCAATTGCATTCTTGGGCATTCATCCCAAAGAAATACAAACTTATGTTCACACAAATACCTATGTGCAAATGTTTACAGAAGTGTTATTTGTAATAGCAAAATCCTGGAAACTACTCAAATGCCCTTTAGTGAGTAAATGGAATAACAAACTCTGGTATACCCATACATACTCAGCAATAAAAAGGAAGGAACTGTTGATGCGTGCAGCCCCCTTTATGAACCTCAAGGGCGTTATGCTTAGTTAAAAAAAATTCAATCTCAAAACATTACATGCTTTATATTCCCATTAATATAAGTACCGAAATGGCAAAACTCTAGAGATGGAGAACAGCTTAATGCTTG